GAGAAGGAAAAATATTTCCAGAATTAATTCCCTCTCCAGCCAGAAGGTTCTGACCTTTTCTCTGGCACTGTCCATGCTCTGTGATGAATATTATTGCAGAGCTCGAGGCTGGTTTTCTGCTGCATTCAGAAATGCTAGATGTTAAGTAAAACAAGTGCAAATTCTGGTATGTTGCCAGATAAGCAAACTGTGTGATAGTGACACAGACTGTGATGTCTGTTTCTAAACTGAGGAACTCGTTAAGCCACTAGAAGCCGGCAGTTAAAAATGTCCTCAAGGTGTAGAATCAGTCACTTACGCACACTGATGGAACAGAGAAAGTTTGAGAGGTGCTATCAGAGACCACGATCATCATGTAAACCAACAAACAGATTTCACACCTCTGAAAGAAGGAATTTCTCTCCTTTTGTCTGAATGAATTTCTGAGGTACATGGAAGTGTGCGCTACATGAAATATAAGTCAAGACTTCAGATTCCTAGTTTTCTTTTCAATGTGACACCATATCAGTAAGGAAGCGTAAAACCAAATAGTAACAATTAGCTCCTGTTGTATTCAAAAGAAAAATTTCAGTGCGAAAGCATCAGTGATATTCTCTCATTATCAGCTTCCTGGTCCTTTCAGTTAATTTTCCAGATCTAATTCATGTTGCCATTTGGAGGAGGTGTTGGATACCAGTAATCATAGGTTTAATTGTGAAAGAGAGAAGTGAGGGAACCACAGTGTGCTTTGCTGTAGTGGCCATCTCCCAGTAGATGGTGCCATTGTGAAATGCAATTTATTCTGAGAAGCACAAACTTTCGGCACTCTATAGAGTTTCTGTACATTGTACAACTCCTAGACTTCTGAAAAAACAATGTTCATTTTTTTAATGTTCTTTGTAAATTTTCAAATCCAGGGATAAAATTAATTTTTTAATCTGCTCTAGGGAGGTATAAAGAGACGCTTTTAAAATAAAGGCAAATGATCAAATGTCCCACATTCAAGAGAAGACAATATACCCCGAAAACATATGTAGAAAAAACTCAGTTCATTCCTAGTTCATCAGGGTTTTCTGTAGACTTGTGAAAACAGCAACGTTTGTTATAATTCTATTATCTATGAGTATACTGAAACAGGAAGTGATAATTAAGCAAAATAGTTCACAGCTGTAAGGAACCAAAATGATTAAACGATAATACACGTCAAAGATTGGGGGATTAGACATCAGAGCTGCTTTTCTATTCTTGATTTAGTTACTGGAAAGCTTGTGTTGACTTCAGTATAGATGGACACAGATCTCTGAATTTTTATAAATTTTTAAATAAAATTTAGAAAATCCCAAACATCTGTAGATACACCTCTATAGCAATTAACTCTTTTTAAAATCATTGAACCTATACAAGAAATTATGTGGAGCCTCCATTATCAGGGACAAGATTTGATGACTCCAGAATGTTGTGTTAAGAGAAATGTTTTGTCAGTAAGTTAATGACATAGAACTTGAAGGCAACACATGTAGAGACTTCATCTTTTCTGAAGAAAGTGAAACTCTCATCAGAAATGGGCATTTGAGACCAGAACAAAGTTTAGGGGCCCCAAAAGATTCACTGGAATCAGCATGTGCTCTGTGAGGAAGTAAAATGTCAGTCCTAAACACTGGCACTGTGGTGTGCTCTTTACTGTCACGCTAGCCAGCTGGAGAGCAAATGAAAACAAACAGCTGAAACGTGGTGTGAACTCCTAGCTTCCTTTCCTGTCATAAAGGACTGGCTGAAAACATTGTATTTGCAGAGGGAAAAATTTGAAAATCTTATTCAGCATTTTGCCCTTAGTTAGGAAAATAAGCTTTGCCTCTGATTTTAGGCAAAGCTCTGTTCGGATGACAGAGCTAATGGTTTTTAGGAAGTGTCATATGTAAGCAAGTAGCAGGGGACCCAGCCAGCAGAAACAGGGATCATGAATTCCCAGATGAGCACAGATTTAATGTTTGAGGGTCCGATTCATTGGGCAGTAGATTAAATGTAATGGTTCCCATAGGTTTCAAAGGGCATTGTGTCAGATTATAATGACTATTCTGTCTGCTTCAGAAGGTGTGTTGCATTTTTCAAGTCAATCCTAATTTTCCCAGAAATATAACAGGGACTGAATAGAGTTCTTTATACGATGTATATTAGAATAACTTTGTCTGATCTTATGTATTGCAGAAGAACATGTATTGGGAAATTACAATGAGATGACTGTTAGGAAAATATGCAGCTGTATTACTGGCACAGGTACGTTTAAGTTTGAATTCTTTAAGTCAATCTGATTTCCAGTTTAACAATGGAAGGTGGTCTCAAGCCATTCTTTTGCGTTTGAAATACTTTTCTCCCAAGTTTCATGATATTTTGGCTTAAATTCCTGCAGTTGAATTTACTTCTTGGATTTTGGTCAATACCAGCTAGATTTTCCTCTCCAGGGCAATGTTGAGAGCCTATCAAGAATATGACCGTCTAATCAGCCTGTGAGATCTTATGGAACATCCTTCACTTGGGAGTGACATCTCACAACAGCCTCGGGTTTTGGCACCATTAAACCCTACTCCTGACCTAGTTCATCCTAAAAGCCAGCCTTTCTACCTCAGTCTGAAACTAGCCTGGTTCTGAACTCGACCGTATTGGCTCACTCTGAAGGATATTGGCCTACACTCACTTTCTCCTTCCCTCGCTGTGGCTAAGAGGAGAGCCTTTGTCCCCCGTGGGAAAGACTGGTGTGGTTTTGCTGAGCTTTGTATGTCCTGCTGAATGCTGAATTCTTTTATGGGGAAAGAGGGAAGGGGGAAATCTCCTTCCTTCCTAGTTTTTGTTATCAATAGTAAAAGCTGATCTACCTTTGTTCTCCACCTGCCATGTGTCCTCCTCCTCTTTTCCTTTACCTGGCTCTGGAGACCATTGTTGGCAAACAGCCAAACCACCAGTCTTTTGTTGGTGGTGTATTTCAAACAGACTGGACTAAGCAGAACAAATACTATTGCCAGTTAACCAGCTTACTTCTTAGTCATTAATTGCTATGACTATTGTGCCATTCTGTACTCCCTCCCTGCAAAACAGCTAGATAGATGCTTGTTCATATTGCTGATACATTGTTAAACAGATGAGCGTTTCCCTCCTGTTTCCTTTTGCAAAATACCACGCTTATGTGTGTAATACAAGCATTAAAGTACACTTATAGCTTTAAACTATTGTTTTGGGGAAAAAAATACAGTTTTCATTGACCCCAGGAGAAAAAAAAAGGAGGTTCATATAAACAGTGAAGCTTATGAGAACTGTATGTCTCATTTATAGACTTCTGTGAATGTATTTAGTATTGTTTTAAGCAGTGCTTTAACAAGCCTGGAAAATGTTGCTGGACGTAAAGGAAAGCATTGACTCTGTCTACAAAGGAAAGAAACTAAGAGATTAAGAGTTGAGCACTCGATTTTCAAGAATAACTAAATCGCTACTTAGGGAGTTCTGGGACACACAACTTGAGAAACACTTTTGAAGGGCACGATTTCAACTCACTTTATCAAGCATAAAGACAGAGTCAGTGTTAGGGCTCAAGTGGAATGACTTAAGTCTGACTTAAAAGTGGACTGATAAACTGAGAAAGGAATATCCTGAACAACTGCAAGGTACTGAACATTGAATTCCTAAAAGTTACAGAGTAAATTTTTTCTGGAAAAATGAAATCAGTGCTTAAATCTGCCCCTTCTGCATTGTCAGATTATTTAGGATTAAAAGCACATTTGTACAAAAAAAATGATAGTACCAAAGTAAGTAAAGTAGAAGAGGAGAGATAGGGACAGGACAGTATCTCTGTTATCCTTTTGCTTTTCTTGTTCTGCCCATTTCTCCCCCCTGCCCCCTGGATATCAAATAACTGGTCATGGTAATGAGATTTTGGATAATGATTACATTTTACTTTTTTTCACAACTAGTCTTCTTCAGAACAATTCCACCTAAATCAAATCTGATGGCTACTGATTTACTTGTGTTTAGGCTTTCTTTAGGCTTTCTACTGTCTTCAGGCTTTTGTCTGTAGTCAGAAAAAAACCCTCAATTTTGTTAAAGGAAGTTGAGTAATTAAAGTGTTCTGAATTTTACATCAGTTCCTTACTGTATCTCAGGCAGACATTTACACCAGTGGAAACAGGGAAAAATTCTGAAGAAGAATGTTTTGCAACTTCTCCTCTGACCATATTTGCTCAATTTCTGCTTTCATTGTTTTTGTTTCATTCCTGATTTCAGGTTGGCTGTCATATTGTCAGGCTACTTATACCATTGAAAAAAATTAACACAGAAAAGGTCAGAAGATCTCTGAGGGATGCTTGAATTCAAACAGTGTCAAGCTACTAGCAGATTTAACTCTTGCTCCTGAGTATTCTCTGTTTCAGATTGTGCCAGTGCTGCTTCAAATTTCTGCTGAGAAATGAAACTCCAACCAGTCCTTTTCTTGTGGGCTTTAAGTTTCATGATTGTGTGTTTTGCACTGTCTTAACTACATAAAATAAGATCTTGTGCAGTTTCCTGTTTTGGATACATGATGATAATATGAGAGGTCTGCCTGTCAATATTCTAGTCTAACACAACAGTAGCTATGGTTTCTGAGATAATTTGGATTTATTGTGCACCCTACAGTAAAGCTGTTCTTTGCCACAGCAAAGATGAGAGATCTAGAAATGGAGGTAAAGGGGAAAAATTAATAATTCTGTACATTTATTCTCTGAAAGAGTTCTCCATGTCAGGATGAAAGGAAATATTTGCTCAAGGATCTGCTAAGGTCAAATAGCGAAGGTAATTTGTGTTCATAAATGGTTAGTCATGACTTAAAAATACTTAAAAATATTGAAAGGAACTGCAGGATAAATGTCACTGGAACTTCTTGTTTTTTTAATACACCTTAAGAAATTAAACAAAGCGAATGCATTTGGTGGCGCCCTCAGGAAAAGTCCAGTCACTTCCTGAACAGTAATCTGCCTGTGAGCAGCAGATAGATTCTCATTGTTTGCCATTTCCAGTTTCCAGTAATGGGAACGATTACTTGATCTAGCCAGTTTCAGTTGAAGATCTGGGAAGACTTACAAATTTTAATGGCAAAATTTTATCCGTTTCCATAAAACAACAGAAAAAAAACCATAACCTGTTTTTGGTACCTGAAGGCATCACCTCTGATAATGAATATTGTTTTATTTTGGAATTAAGTGTCTGTTCTTCAGGAACGAGATGTATCTTGCTCTTCTGGTGATTTTCTTGCAGTGTAAGTTTGATAACTAAATATCTGGGTGGGTACATGTATGTCTGGTTTGTTTGGGCTTTGTTGGGGCTTTTTACTGTTTCCCCTTACTGTCTCTCAATCTGTAAGCTTTGAAAATAACGTTTCTTTTAATTTTTTTTCCAGGTTCAGAACTTTACACTCAGGAGAGAGGTAGGTAATGATAGGGTTTTTTCACGTACAAATTTAAAATAAGTAATTTAACTAATTCCTCAGTTGTTGGTGTGCATCCATAACAGTGTTTATCTGGATTTGCTCTACTACAGTGCAGTACGAAATTTGACCATGAAAAAAAAAAAAAAGTATTATTTGGTGGTGTTTCTTGGTATAGTGTTTAAATAAGAGATGTGCTGCTCATACTTTAATAAATGTTTTGGCAAAATCTTTCCTACAGTAATTTGCTTAACTGAGGCATACAAGAGAAGAGATCGGAGAGGAAATTTAATTACTAGTGTTTTGTTTTGGTTTTTAAAAAACCCTTTCATGCCCACAAGCAAGGAGGTAGGATGAAATTACAGAATGTATGTTAAGGGCACTCTTTCTTGCTCTTTTTCTTGCAAAAGAAAAGATTATATCTGAGTACAGAACTTGCGTTCTGAAAGGAATGCATTTACTTTTTATGTTATCATCTTGCTGACTTCCAGCATGTACACTCTGCATACTTCCTTTTTTCCATCATTAGGGAGAAACATTTGCCTCTTGTTGTCATGTAGTCCATTCACATGCAATGAAATTTACAATTTTTGCATTGGTTTTATGCCCAAAACTCTCTCTAGCAAGGAGAATTTATAAATAGCTGGTAAGTGTACATGGCAAGGGACTTTAGATGCAGGGAAGTTTTCCTGTTCTAGTAGCAAATTTCTAATACGAATCCTGGCCAAAATGGGCATAAACAAAAGCTGTAAGTTCTAAAGGAAGGGAAAGTGAATGAACTCATAAATCTTTCTTTGTACTTGTTCCTCTAGCTGTGTGAATAAAAATATTAATTATACCAGGATTCTAATAATTATAAAATTTTAAGCTACAATTTATTTATCATTGCTGTGGTTATAAACACAGAAGCACTATATATATATAAATGCTATTAAAAACTTTATTTCTTAAAGTGCTTATCAATTTTTTTTTTTTAATGGGAATATTGTATTCAGTATATTTTTTCAGGGACTAACATATCTAAATTCTGAACTAATTGAAAGCATTGCTTCTGCATATGATTCTGTATTTGAATGAATCAGGGTATGATTGCTAAGGACTCTTGAGAGTATGATTGCTGGACTGCCAATAATGTGAAGTTAGGCATGTACATGTTTGCTTGCAGAACTTGAACCCAAATATCTTCCGTTACGCTCTAGTTATCATAAACTAGAGATTTAAGATTATCCCAAGCTTGTGAGTTACATGTTTAAAGTGGAATTTGCTGAATGACATAACCCTAACCTTACTTTCCGATAAAAATACTGGGATAACTCCAGAGATTTCTGCTAATTGGGGATGAATTGGCTTGGGGTTTAATACAACTCTAAGCAGGGCTTTACTGTCATTTTTCAGTTTATTCAGACAAGTATAAATACAAAATTTTGTTCACCTCTCAGATCTCCTGCCAATTAGAGTTGAAGACAGCAAACCATGAGAAATAAGGAAAATCAAGAAGTAGTTACAAACCTATTCCAGCGTCCCCTGTGTCTTCTAGGGAATGTAGTAGATTTGGCCATGAGCATGGCCAAATCAGTGATTCTTTCAGTCCCTCAAGGCAAAGACTGAGCAGATGGACAGTGTGTGCTGTGACAATCAGTAGTTGCCTCTAGTATATCTGTGCAGTGGAAGGTAAAGCTGCTACCACTGTCAACATCTGTCAGATCTGACCACAAAAATTATAACACCTGCTACGAGGGTACAATGAATTAATTTTTGTGATTAAAACGTAGCAGCTTGAGATAACAGTATTATGTTGGACGAATTGAAAATAAATATAACTTTTTTATTTTTTTCCATCAAGTTTTTACTTTCAACAGAGTTGAAATCAAGGTTCAGCCATCTGTCAAAGTAAAGAATGGAGCTCCTATGTCAATTGTCTGCCATGCTGATATTAGCAAAAGTACCGATTTCCAGCTGAAGCATAACTTTACAATTTTTAAGGATGGCAAGCTTGTGTTCATGACCGTATCAGACAAAGGAGATGCACAATATGAAATACCTGTGGCTAGATCTTCAGATACAGGAGACTATGAATGTACTGTGGAAGCAGATGGAAAGGCAAAATCTAGTAACTCCTTACACGTTTGGGTAACAGGTGGGTAACTCCTTCAAATACGGCAGTTTTCTAAAATACAAAAAGAGAACAACCTTCCAGGGGAAGTAATAATACTCAGTGCTAAATAGGATATCTTGCAAAGTGTTTTTTATCCATGGACATCATAGTACTATGCAAGAATTTAGTACTAAATCCTAATGTTGAGGCACAGAAAGGAAATCATGATCGCAAGGCTACATGGCAGATCAGTGATAGTCAGAAATACAATCTGTGCCTCCTGTGCCACCATCCCCTCTGTCCTGAGCCTGTTTCCTAGACTAGAGAAAGTATTATTTGTGAAAGCTTGTGCCTATAGATCATAAACATGATGGGGGGTGGGTAGATTACTGGAAAAGCTGGAAATAATGTATAGAGATTTTCACCTTGTGACAGCCGTTGCCAAAGCTAGTATTAACTGTGGACTACTTTCGTAGACAATGTTATATCAGTCTTGTTCTTTCATCTCTTATGAGAACAGGGGCCACCTCCATCTATACTCTTTCTAGCCATGTGTTCTTGACTGCAAGTGACATGTTTCCCCTTGGAGAAGCAACTTGGAAAGAGGTCATTCAGCATTAAATAGTTACAGGGTTGTGCAGGGCCTGTAATTTTTCTTCAGAGGCCTGCACCCCTATCTAGATACAGAAGTTGGGATGGCATTTAGTTTCTTTGCTTGCTCATTTCTGAGTGGCAATAGGAAACACTGAAGAGGAAGTGGCTTTACCTTGAAAACAGCAAGTTTCATACTTTACACATTGCATCAAGATTGTACTACCCTCTCGGGGGACATTTTGCTCTTCTGAAGGTGCCTTGGTATGCACTCACACATCAAAAGAACTGTCTTCAAAAGCTCAGTTCTTGCAGATTATTTGCATCTGTTCCTTAGCATAAATAACTGACATAGTAATCAGAGATAGTGTTTATTTCGGGATTATGTAACATTCTGTTTCTTTTCTTGTTTTCTGTTCTAAGGAATGACTAAGCCAATCCTGACTGCTGAGAAAAAAGAAGTTTTAGAGGGTGAAGTTGTGAAATTACGTTGTGAGCTGCCAGAAGAAGTACCTCCTTTATATTTCTTTTTCCGGAAGATAAAGATGAATTCAACACCTAAAGAAAAATTTGTATTTGAACCACACAGAAATTTTTCTGTAATGGAATTTTCTGTTGAAGAAGATGATAACATTTTACAATTTGATTGCTTTGGTCGGAGAAATGTAAAACTCGAATTTGAAAGCTCAAAACACAGCAACACAACACTTGTTACAGTCAGGGGTAAGTTGCTTAGCTTTTCTTTTTACATTTCTTTGCTTGCTATAATTAAAAAGTTGGGTCATGAGTTTATATGTATTCTCTTGCAGAACCATTTATAAAGCCTACTCTGAATGCCAAGCCCTCAAGTAATATTACAGAAGGAGACAGAATACAGTTTGAATGCTCAACTGTGGTAGCCCAAATGCGTGACATTGAAATCATACTCCAGAAAAACAAAACAATACTGAGCAGTGTACGAGATGAGAAACTTTTGAAATACTCTGCAGTAGCTGCTCTAGAGGACAGTGGTGAATACCTGTGTAAGGTGGAGCAAGGGAGAACATCTAAAACCACCAAACTGAATGTTATTGTGTCAGGTAACACCTCTGTTCATCTTAGATTTTACTCAACGGATTAATATTTAAATTTAAATTTGGTATAACTGAAGATCCAAGTGTAACCTCCAGATCCAAGTGTAAATTTTTGCTAAGTTAAAGGCTATTAAGATTTAGATGTTGGTTTCTGATTTTTGCCTGCCAGTACTTTCCAACAAAATAATACTTTCAAATAACACAGATGAGAAGTGGTTTCAAGTGATTGCTAAGTTTCTGTTTTCCCTGAAAATGTTATTATATTAAAATAACATGGTAGGTTTTTTTTTTTTTCCTGATTGTAAACTTTCGGTATGTCCTTCATTCTGTAGACCTTGAGATAGGTAGTCGTATTTTAGGTTCAATTTGAATGAATTCATTCTCTCTTTATCTTGCAGAGTTATTCCCCAAGCCAATATTGGCTGCTTCTATGAGTAAGCTGGATGAAAATAAAGAATTAACTTTGAATTGCAGCATTAGTGGTTTTCAGAAAGCTAACTTCTCTATATTGCGGAAAAATTCAAATGGAGACATCTGCTTGAAAAATTCTAGAAACTTAACAATAATAGTGAATGTGAATGACACTGGATCCTATATCTGTAAAGCTGAAGTAAAAGGAATAGTCAAGGAGAGCAAACCTGTAAGGATAAATGTTTATGGTGAGTTGATACAGAGGCTTTGAACCCAATGGTGGGGGGGAAAAATCAAAATCATAAGCTTATAAATAAGCACGACCGTTTACAGAAACAGTCTCTAGTCCATGAACTGGCAGGGTGTCTATTAGTTCTTGCAATATTAATTTCTGTGAGATGTGCTTGTCATCTTTAGCTGTAGGGGATTTGGCCTACCGTGATCTAATCAAGTCAGACTTTTCCAGGGCTGGCCCTAGGAGAAGGAAGTTAGCATGTCTTCCTTCTGTTCCCTTGATTCTGCTAGGTGCCAAATAAACTCTCATTCATTACCATTTGCAGGAGCTGGGAATGTTCTGCAAACCTTTCACTCATCAGTTTGATCTGAAACTCTGTCAGTGTCTGCCTTGAATCCCTCCCCCTGACCCTCCAGGCAGAAAGCCATGAGAGCCAGAGGTCATCTGGATAGCTCTACTCCAGAAAAGCCAGGTTTTTTGCTATCAATACAACCCCCTCACCAGCACGCTAATTATAAACACCCTAGTTTCCTTTCCTCTCATGGAACAAACACTGTCAGTTCTCCGGTCTGTAAAGGGGGATTAACTGGGTTGTGACTCACTGTGCTGCAGAAACAGAGGTCCTTGATTAGGTGCTGCAGGATCCATCTCAGGTAATACATGCAATGGTACTTGCACATATTTTTGCTCTACAGAGTTACTCCTTGGGTCAGAGTTAGTTCTGGAGTTTGGATGATCCACGGCTGTGTCACCGATCCTTTTTTTTTTTTTCGTTACATTATCCTCGTATGCTATTTTATCCTAAGTCACATATGTTCTATTATCTATGGTTTTGTTTTGTTCAAGTCACCCCCTGCTTCCATTCTATCAATGAGGAAGAGCTCCCCAATATAGACTGTGTGTGCAAACTAGCTAAATATTGTATGTTTATATGTTTTCTACAAAATAATATTGTGTCTTTCGGCCTTATGCAGTGTAATTTGCAACAATTTTTTCTTTTATTCCCCTTTTAGCTCCAGTCTCCAAGCCAACTCTTTCCGTTGTCAGTGGTTTACCGGAGGTGGTATTAGGGAAGCCTCTACAGTTAATCTGTCGTTCAGTGATGGGAACACCGCCAATAACATTCACATTCTATAAAGGAAATGAAGTTAAGAAAATAGTAATTAATGATACATATGCTACGTTCTTGGATGAAAATATTAAACAAAATGACAAAAGAGGATACAAATGTGATGCTAGAAATAATCACTCCAGTGGTATGAAAACTAGCAATATTCTAAACATCACAGTAATAGGTAAGTCTGTTTAATTCTTCTTCTTGTCTGATGTCATATTTTGATTTTTGAAACTGTAGCAGCAAATGATGGACGAAGCAAAATGGATGTGAAATGTTTAAAGATTTTTGCTCATTTGAATTAAAAATAGTTGGAGAACTGTATCACAGACTATTTGTCACTAAAGTAAAAATCCTGATAGTAATCCAAATCAAGTTAACTACAATTGAGTTTATTTTAATGTTAAAAACAGATCTGACTTGAAATCTTACAGAAGCTGTTTTAGCAAAATGAATGATTAAAAATTTCAGGACCAGATCTGTTTTCTTCATGTTTGATTTTCGTAGGACTGGATTAAATGTATACATAATGATATTGGAGTTAGTCTAGATTTTACTCATTAAAATAATTGAGGTAGCTAGATTCCTGGTAAAAGATGTAAATCTGTGCTTTTAGTAATTCCTCTAAATACCTCTGTTATTAGTTGCATTTTTCAGAGGCACTGAGCATATGCTCAACACCAGAAGCTGCAGTTGCTAAGTAGCTCTGAAAGTCAGTCTATTCTTATGCCTTATTAGCAACTTGGAGTTACTGTATATGAGCAAAATCTCTGATCTACAAATATGTGTGAAGTAGAAAGGGAAAATTCCTCTGCCCCCGAGGGAAGTTGATAGTTGAAGCTTTAAAAAGAAGATGAACTGGCAGTCCACGGAAGAAAGCATGATGTCTGATATACGCTGGGAGTCTTAGCAGTACTCCAAGAAGGGGAATGCAAGTGAAAAAGCTGTGATTTGCAAATGTGCTATTGGCAGATATGAAGAGAAATTGAAGCAAATAATAACTCTGTAGTAGGCTACGTAAGATCGGTGTCAGGACTGGTCAGTCTTAAAACATCTGTGTGTGGTTTTCCCTGTCATTACGCATGTAAGGGAGCGTCTTGTCTTGGTAGGATTTTTTAACCAGTATACCGTGTTTCTGTAGATTTGTTTGGGGCACTCGGAACAGATGGTAGTGAGATTTCACGTGACAGTTCCTGATGTAGATCCTAGTGGTTCAGAGGTTTGGCTCAAGAAAATTCTGGCGCTGATTTAGATATGTTCTGTCCCCATCACAAGCAGTTCCCTGTGTGCCCAAAGAACTTATTTGTTAACAACAGGTTTTGCTATAGGCCTTAAGGAAGTTTCTTGGATATCCTGTGCCCAAGATATGGATTGTACCTTGAATTTAATTTGAAAATCTAAAGACAAACAATTGTAGAGAACAGAGTAGCTGTTTGAGAAGGTATACTGAAGCCTTCTGCACTAGATGAAGGTCCCTAACAGTCACAGGCTTCATGTCGACAGATACTGTCTTGTTGGGGTTCATCTTTAATAGCAAATGAGGTAAGCAGAAATCATAGTCTCCTACCCAAGTGGAAATAAAGCATTGACTGTGGCTGCTGCTCCTGGAGGACCTGAGAATATTCTCAGTCTACAGAAGGAACCAACTAATTGTAGGTATTAATCTTTAATAAAAGGAAATAATGATTTGCTTGTAACGTCTTCAAAATGTTTGTCTGCTTAGTAGTGTCACCTCTACCTTACTTGGTTCAGAGTTGGTCAGTTTCGTCAGTCTGATGTTGTCAAAGAATTTGACTATCTTGGTAGGGGTTGGGCAATATGTAGTGGAAAATAAGTAGAGCTGTGTATCCTGTGCATATTGTTGACACCTATGTCGATATCATTTGACCAGGTAGTAACCACATACAGCTATTGGGACTGTAAGTAAGGGAATTGGTGATGGCGGATCCACTTGTAGAGCAATTTTAACCCATAGTCTTGGCTCCTTGCTACTTTTCTTGAATGTATCAGCAGCATTTTAGATTTACCTAACTTGATTACAGCAAAGTAGTCCAAGACCAGAGCAGACAACTATTCTTGACTTATTGAAAAGAAGAGGGAAGCTCTCTCTACCAAGGAGTCTTCGGTTTTGTGTCCCGGCTTGAACCCAAATTGTGTTGGTTTTAATAAGACAAATTTGTGGGTAACAGGCTGGTTTCTCTCTGAGTTTTTACATTGAGTTGTATGTGACTAGAACAGATACATCCAGAATTGTTGCATTTCTTCTGAGTCAGTTGGATTATTGCACAGTTGAAGGACATGCTCCCCACTCTCTGAGCCCCCAAACAGGTCTTTTAATACAGTATTTGCATTTGCCTAGACTATAGAAGTAGGACCGCACCTTAAGTTCATCAGTTCCACCAGGATATGCTTTGCTAACATTAGAGAGAAGCTGAATGATAAAACTCTGAAGAGATTTATCCAGTGAGATTTAAAGTCAAGGTAATTTGAAATAACAAGTAACAAATAAACAAATACAAAGCATAATCTTAGTCTATTAACAAGTGGGTATTTCTTTGCTGGAACTAGTGTATCCCAGCTGTTAGAGCAGTGCTTCAGGATATATTGTGACACTGTTTGGAAGTTCTGAATAGAAAGTCACATTTTGGAGCCTGGTGAGCCCATCTTCTGCAGGCCACCACTCCTGAGGTGGTGGCTTTGAATGCTCTGTATTCTGTCCTTTCTGTCTGTACCAGAACTGAAAAAAGATTTATGTTTTACAGAGCAATCCTCTCTATCACGGGATCAGTCATAGTAACCCACGTCTTGTATCTAAATCTGCTTCCTGCTTACTATCTAATGCAAATACAGCTTTCATGACTAGCATCTTTTCTTATCAGATTTGGTTTCCTCCTTCTGCTTCTGTACCAGTGTTGCCTTAATGACTCCTCCTTTGCATCTGCCTTGTGTTATCCATGACCATGCCCCAAACACATTCATAATATTTCCAGAGAAATTTTGTTTAGCGATTTTAGCAAAACAGATGCTTCATATACCAAACTTTTTGTGAAGCTACTAACATTCCACATGCCTTGCATCACAGAATGTATGTACATTTTTTCCCCGTGTAATTGTAAGTGCTGCTGCTCCTGTGCTAGCTCTGTATATGCTAATATGCTTAATTTGTAAAACAGAAAACTTAAAAACTGTATTTTGGCTATGCATATTCTTACAACTTGTTCAAATACAAACTAACTTCTCTCATTGTGTTTGCTATATTCTGTAACCATTAGAATTTGGGACTTGCTTATGCCTTGATCCAATATCTTCATTGATGATCTGGATGAGGGGATTGAGTGCACCCTCAGTAAGTTTGCAGATGACACCAAGCTGGGTGGAAGTGTCGATCTGCTGGAGGCTAGGAGGGCCCTACAGAGGAACCTGGACAGACTGGATCATTGGGCTGGGGCCAACTGTATGAGATTCAACAAGGCTCAGTGCTGGGTCCTGCACTTGGGTCACAACAACCCCATGCAACGCTACAGGCTGGGGGAGGAGTGGCTGGAGAGAGAGAGAGAGAGAGAGCTGCCTGGCTGAAAAGGACCTGGGGGTGTTGGTCGACAGCCACCTGAACATGAGCCAGCAGTGTGCTCAGGTGGCCAAGAGGGCCAATGGCATCCTGGGTTGTATCAGGAACAGTGTGGCCAACAGGACCAGGGAGGTGATGGTGCCCCTGTACTTGGCACTGGTGAGGCTGCACCTTGAGTACTGTGTTCAGTGTTGGGCCCCTCACTCCAAGAAGGACATCGAGGTGCTGGAGTGTGTCCAAAGAAGGGCAACGAAGTTGGTGAAGGGTCTGAAGCACAAGTCTTGTGAGGAGCGGCTGGGGGAGCTGGGGTTGTTTAGTCTGGAGAAGAGGAGGCTGAGAGGAGACCTTACTGCTCTCTACAACTGCCTGAAAGGAGGCTGTAGCGAGGTGGGGGTCGGTCTCTTCTCCCCAGTAACGAGTGACAGGACGAGAGGAAATGGCCTCAAGCTGCACCAGGGCAGGTTTAGGTTGGATATTAGGAACAACTTCTTCACCAAAAGGGTAGTCAGGTATTGGAACAGGCTGCCCAGGGAAGTGGTTGAGTCTCTATCCCTGGAGGTATTTAAAAGATGGGTAGACGCGGTGCTTGAGGACATGGTTTAGTGGTGGACTTGGCAGTGCTAGGTTAACAGTTGGACTCGATGATCTTAACGGTCTTTTCCAACCTTAACGATTCTATGATTATCTGCTGATATTCACTATTGTATATTGTTACAAGAAAGATACAATACAGTTAGCATACAATAGCATAACTCTACATAACTGTGAAAGCATAGCCACATATATTGAACTATAATTATTTATACTATTGAACTGCTGAGTGTATTATTTCTGAAAATTAAATAATTTGTAGGTTGGGGCCTAAGGGGCATCCAAAGGAGTTTAAGAAAAGAGGCTGACTGACTTCTGTGGAATGGATATAGTTTCCTTCTGTGTCTGCGTCGTTTCTTTATAGTGCCCTCTCTATTTCTGGGTGTATAAAAATATTTACTAGAGGATGCTGCCTGGCAGAGACTGTTCAGAAAGATTAATACTGTGCATTCAGTCTGTGTTTAACTAAGCATTGTGATTTAACCCCAGTCAGCAACTGAGCACCAAACAGCCACTTGCTCACCCTTCCCCCTCCCACAGGGGGATGGGGGAGAGAATCAGGGGGGAAAAAAAGTAAAACCCATGGGTTGAGATAAAGACAGTTTAATAGGACTGCAGAGGATGAGAAAATAATAATAATGATAAAAGAATATACAAAACAAGTAATGCACAATGCAATTGCTCACCACCCACTGACCGATGCTCAGCCCATCCCCAAGCAGTGATCACTGCCCCGTGGCCAACTGCCCCAGTTCATGTGCTGAGCATGACTCCATACGGTACGGAGTAGCCCTTGGGCCAGTCGGGGTCAGCTGTCCTGGCTCTGCCCCCTCCCAGCCTCTTGTGCACCGGGCAGAGCATGGGAAGCTGAAAAGTCCTTGACTAGTATAAACGCTACTTAGCAACAACTAAAACATCAGTGTGTTATCAACATTATTCTCATACTAAATCCAAAACACAGCACTATACCAGCTACTAGGAAGAAAATTAACTGTATCCCAACCGAAACCAGGAGACTAAGCATTAAAGCAAGTATTTCTACAATACAACATTTTATCATCAAAGTTATTTCTGATAGTGCTAATATTTATTTTCTTTGTGCCTTCCACTGTAGT